CATTCAATCCCTGTGAATTAATATGGAATGTCATATAATGTCTGTCTCTAAGATTTTTTACTTTCAGAAAGTCCTGTTAGGCTTATTAAATGTATTGGAATTTCTGTAATAGTTGTAAAGGATGCACTTGAAGAGATATACAAAAAAAGCAGGTCTGATATCTCTCACGTTTTGTCGTCCGTCTTTTGTTTAAAAAAGAAATAGCCAAAATAATGGCCTAGTGATAACATTGTTATATAACAAATTATACCCTGATGCCATGATTAACAACAGTAAAGCATGATGTATATAAATGTGTAATTTCTTACACTTATGGTTCAGGTGAGGTATAATACACAGAAACTGTCTGTGTTAAGAAGTATTTTTTTATATATATAAAGGAAGTGTGTACTACATTGACAACTAAAACATTTGAAATGTCTTACAAATAGAGAGAATTTTAGATGTGAAATCCTATACTAGTCTCATAAGAACAACATATGTTTTAGTTCTCTAGGCCTATAGCTGTCATGAGGTATAATACACAGAAACTGTCTGTGTTAAGAAGTATTTTTTTATATATATAAAGGAAGTGTATACTACATTGACAACTAAAACATTTGAAATGTCTTACAAATAGAGAGAATTTTAGATGTGAAATCCTATACTAGTCTCATAAGAACAACATATGTTTTAGTTCTCTAGGCCTATAGCTGTCATATATTATTAATATCTAGATGTGTGTTTGGTTCGGTTGTGCTCTGTTTTCCGTTACATGATATTTGAGGAGCAAGCTGTTCTTAATCGAACTCGAACTAGCATTTCTCTCTCCCTCTAGCTCTGCCCGTGAGGGGATCTGTATAGGAATTCGATACGTCTATAAACTGTTTGACCCTCCGAGTTAGGATCAGGGGCTTCGCTGTTTTCTGTTAATCTGTGGAAAACGTTGAGAATTCCTTTTCCTTCAATAAAGAACGCTTAATAAAAAATCAAACACGCACAAGCCTACATAGTCTTATGTAAACAGTCCTACACAAAGTCAACAATGGCTGTGGTTTGCTCAAATCTGAAATAGAAAATCCTTTATTGAACAGGTAATGTTAACTTAACAAATCTCATTAGATATCTTTCAACGCTTACAAAATCTAGGAAAATTATCTTATTAGTTATATGCTCTATATGTATTTTCCAGCTTCTATTCACGCATTTGTTTCGCATTATCGTATAAAACTTTATAGCAAATAGCTGGAAATTAGCAAAGAGTTGGGTATCCTATTTTATCCACTTTTTAAATTCACACTTCAATGTGTGTGTGTTTATTTCATAGCAAAGCCATATCGGGCTATCTGCTGTGTCCACCGAGGGGAATCAAACGCCTGATTGTAACGCTGTAAATCCGTAGACTTACCGCTGTCCCACTTCAATCTAAAGACAAATTAAAATACGTCGTTGGAGCGTGACATTCACTGAAATGAAACAATTATCAGTCACTTCATAAAGTAAAGTTCAAACTGATTACGGTGGTCCCATCGTTACTAAATTCTGTGCTTTACACAATGCGTTCGATTGACTAGAGTACTAAAAGGCTCAGCAGAACTGAACAAACAATTTATATAAGCATCCCGTGTATTTGTAAATATCTACGGGGATGTCAGAATGCCTATTCTATCCAGCAGCTCCCGTATCTCGGGTTTCAAACTACCTTTTTAAGGCCTAACGTCTTTATATAAAACACGCTATATGACATAATCTTAACCTTAAATTGAGACACTAACTACAACTTGGAACATATTTCTATTGTAAAGTTGAGTGTTTTGTAATAAAATTAAACATTATTAACAGGAATGAATAACATATTTCTTTTCTTATTTCTTTTTTAGAATACAAAAATAAATCTATTTAGATTTGTGAACAAGCAAACTAATGGATCAGTAACACGTCAGACAAATAACATTAAATTCGATTTTGATTTGTTGTCTTTTTAACCTCTGTCTAATGTATGGGCAGAAATCACATGTTATGGTTTCAAGTTATTGCCCTGATCACCAAAGTTACTAGTGTCACCGCCAGGTGAATCGTCATTTCTTATCGTAGAGTAGTATATTATGTTATTAAATGGAAGGATATAAAATATTTTCAAATTGAAATATATATATGTATATGTATATATATATAGAAAAACAAAGTTTAAGAGCTTAATATATAATATGTTTATATACGCTTATAGACAAGCTCCTCATGCTTTTCTATAGACAATGTTATTGTTGGTGGTAACATTACTGCTTTGCCCACCCACTCATCGCTTGATCAAGAAATGCATTGTAGCTACGACGTAGTAATGACGAAGTTACACGCGAGGTCACCCTTTGTTCAAGGTATTCGTGTTTGTAAAGGCGTTATTTATTAATGAATCAATGACAACATTTGAGAAATTGCTTTACATTACTCTTTTTTTCTTTCATGGTCACTTGAGTCTATCAATATTTATTTATAGGTGGCGCTTCAAAATACATGTACTGGTTTCCACGTCACGTTTTATCACGGATGAAAAGATTTCTTAGTCGTTTTTACGTGAGAGATGTTTTTTTTATATTTTTATAAACGTCCCCTTATACTAATAACAATATAAAATAACTGCCTCATGAAAAGTATTACAAATGTATGTATATTTACTATGTAAAATAATATCCTGGAGTGGCTTAGTTGGTTAAGATTCACGGCTCGCCTCGAACTGCAGCAAAAATGCGATCGCACATTGGAGCCTTGGATTTGCTGTAACTTGTAAGAGTGATGGCCAAATCCCAATATTCGATGAGACAGAAGTACCCCAAGTGTTGACGGTGGATTCTGTTCACTAGCTGTCATCCCTTTTGTCTATCAGTTAAAACTCAGAAACGGTTATGCGCAGATAACCCTTATGGAGCTTTGCGCAGATAACCCTTATGGAGCTATGCGCAGATAACCCTTATGGAACTTTGCGCGAAATTCTCAAATTAATCTATTTAGTACTCAATTGTTATACAACAAAACCACTCATTTCGGAAGACTAACACGTAGCTTTGATATCAAACAAGGATAACAGCTGTAGTTTAGGCTGTCTATAAGTTAGTTGCTTAAACAGGTAGATTTAAGAATTCTAATAGATTTATTTGAAAGCCACCTTCAGGCTAAATACTTCGAACTGCAAGAGACAAGAATTCGAAATGATATGATTAAAAAGAATATTATCAAGTTGTAAATTCAAAGCATTGAGCAGGTTTTTCGTTGTTACAAAAACGTTTCTAACCAAAACATATAACAACTAGAAAAGGCAGTCAATAATGCCAGACTTGGAATCATATGTTGCCTTCTTCCATTAATTGGAGTCGTATAACACAGGAGCCGTTTGTCCAAAGGAAAGATACCCGAGCTACGCGGTATTAAATGTCGCTTTCGTTCTGCGTCTGTTTCAAGTGTTTTGGCTACTGATCTCCTCGCGACAATAACAAATCAATGACGGCTCGCTCAAACAGCTCATCCATTTAACCCAGATCTTTGGAGGGTCCGCTTAAGTTACTTTACTAAATTTAGTTGAGATTGGTTCAGTCAATTGTTCTCTACTTTGGACACCAGACAGACAACTCTGATGTTTATATATATATTCTACTAAGCGAAACTATATAATAAACTTAAGAAGAAGCATGTTCGTCTTATCTACTCTAAAAAATATTAAACTGTTAAATTTGGACAAGTCTTTACGACGAATGAAGTAACTGCAGGATCAGGATTCCTAATACCTGCATGCTGAATGACGCATTCCACCATCCCATAGTGTGGTAACCGTTACTTAGGTTACTAGTATGTTTAGTAGGCGTAAGTTTAATTAGAAATATACTCACTTATCACAAAACGCGACCAGTTCAGAAAAAAGATTAACCTTTTTCTAACAAAAACGACCGAAAGTACTGTATTGTAACTTTAATATAATTTTGCTCTTTACACATGTAAATACTAGATTCTTTGGAAGTAAAATCTTGTTTTGGTGTGAACGTTTCATCCAAGATGGCGAAGCATGATTATAATTAAATATACTTCTTATCAGACATTCGTATTAGGCCTATTATATTTTTAACACCGTATTCTTTATATCGTCCCTTAGGAGTTTTAAATAATGAGAAAAGTGTATAAAAGTAGTATTCCTACCACACCACTATGTTCGCTATATCCATTGCAGACGACGCATTTCCCTCAATCCAGAGCTCATCATACCGACTGCCCCCCAGTGGTACAGCGGTATGTCTGCAGACTTACAACGCTAGAATCCGGGTTTCGATACCCGTGGTGAGAAGAGCACAGATAGCCCTTGTGTAGCTTTGTGCTTAATTACAAACAAACAAACAAATCATACCGACTGTGAGACCATAAAAACTGGGACTAGATAAAGAATGCAGTGTTAATTGTTTGTTTTTGAATTTCGCGCAAAGCTACACGAGGGCTATCTGCGCTAGCCGTCCCTAATTTAGCAGTGTAAGACTAGAGGGAAGGCAGCTAGTCATCACCACCCACCAAAAACTCTTGGGCTACTCTAATCAAACATTAGTGTTAACCGTCACATTATAACGCCTCCACGGTTGAAAGCCGAGCATGTTCGGTCATGAGATAACCATCAGAGTATGCCACGCCCGATTTCATCTAGTGGTAACTGTGAAAACAAAATCATATTATTGCCAATTCATTTAGGGGTAAAAGCGTTCTATAATCTTTTGATCGGACCCAGTAGAACCTCGTGGAGGCAATAGCAGCGTAAACCACAGCCACGTAATAGCATCTAGTTACCACCTTCATAAATTTATTTAAAGTACACAAAGAGAAAAGCTACTTTACAGAAGAACCAAGTTTTCAGTTTGTATACGGTATTAGAAAATATCAGTCATTATTACCAGATTTAGGCTTATCAACATACAACATTTTGACATAATACAAATCTGTTTAGAGTTAAAACACACCAACTCGATCTAAGGATCGTATGGAGATATTCTCACCGGAAATTAGATCATCCTTTGAACGTGAAAGTGACGTAACCACTTGAATGCTGGTCATGCCATCGGGGTTGTCTTCAGCCATAGTGTACTGAAGTGGACCATCATAACCTGCGTAGAAAAACGGTTGACATTTGGTTTTCAGTTCATTTAAGGTTAACTTTTCAAAACCGTGGTGGATGAAGTTGTTGTTGGTTTTTGTATTAATGCCGAAATACTTGCTATTTCCAGGTCTCTCAGTAGTTCATTCTTTAGTAATTGGTTAAACGTTATAAAGATTACAATTAGAGATTACACAAAGTCTATTAACATACATACAATTACACTTACATTTGTTGAAACTAGGAATGTAATGAATAGTAGTTTTGGTCAAATATCGATTTTTGATATCCAGCTTCTGATATTCGATTGTATTTAGATATGTTCAGGTTGAGTAGTAGATGTAGGCTTACATAATGAAATGTTTCGCTGTCTTTAGCTACTACTTCAATATGTATTAAGCTTCAATGGTGTTTTGTTTGTTGTTGTTTTTATTTAATAAGGATATACAGTTTGGCAGCGTTGTTGTTGCTGCATCTACCATAACTACCTATGGCATACAATGGCAGTACATGGGCAAGCATGATGTTTAATAATGGCTGGTAATGAAGAAAAACTTTAATATAAGTTTAACATAACAGCAAATATACAGCGTTTCGACAAGGTTTTGTCATCATCAGGTACCAAAAAAAAAAAAGCCCAGGCTATGTATTTGCCGAGATTGTAGTTGAATGAATCATAAGTGGACATATAGGTCGTAGGGGGCAGGCCTGTTTGTCTGGTTTAGGAATGCCATAGAGTTGTGGTGTGCGTGAATC